AACCCATAACCTGTAATAACCCATAGGTTTTTGGCTTCCACAAACATGGTAGATAGTAAAAACCCATAAGTCTGCCGTATCCCATAACCCATAGCTTTTTGGAGGGTCATAACCCATAAAACAACCTATATTAGGAAGGTACAGGTCTCCTTCCCACGAGAATCTGGACCATCTGGACCCTGAAGTTTTGGTTCTGGTGGTATTTCAGAAGATAACCCATACCAGACTCAAGATTCCGTATCTGAACGTTGTCACGGCCTATACCGGATAGGCTGTCTGTCACGCTTACTAGGTAGTCACACAATGTCACACGTTCTGGTAACCCATAGTCTGCAGAAACCCATAACTTTTGGGTTCCACGACCCGTTATGGGTTAAGACAGAGTCGACTGTATGGCGTTGATAGGGGAACTTGACGAATCGCGGGGTTTATATGTTCCTCGGATCGAGATCCGGGAGGGGTTGGACAGGGTGGCAGTGCATGCTTCTCGCCGCGTTCAGAACTCGGACTGCATCCTCACAAAGGCAGCTACAAACCAGCAGGCTCCTCATGCAAAAAACTCAATTCACTGCATGCCAACAGGCAAGATATAACAACATTAAACGTGACCCGGCACCCTCATGGCACGCACCACCCCCAGAAACACGCCATTCTCTCGCCATGCGCTCCCGGCCTTGACAGACTCTCGCAAGGGTGCGCCACGCCCGCCGTCTGCTCCGGTCTTCCCCATGCGTACAGCACTGAGTCAGTTACCATAAGCATTGCAACCACAGCCTCTACCGCGACCCCCACGGCCAGAACCGCTTGAACCGCCCCAGCTTCCTCGGCCCCCTCTCAGGATCTCCTCCACTCGCCGGCGGCGGGGGGGACGACGCGTACCTGCGCTTATACTCCGCCGGCGTCTCCGCGAGCGCGCCCGTCTTCCATATCCCGCGGCGCGCGGCCCTGCCCGGCATCGTCAGATGCAATTACACCGGGGGTGAGGAGGGGGGGAAGAAGTGAAGGAAAGTATGAGAAAGGAAGGAAAGGAGAAGAGGGAAGGAAAGGAGAGGAGAGGAGGGAAGAAAAGGAGAGGAGGGAAGAAAAGGAGAGGAGGGAAGAAAAGGAGAGGAGGGAAGGAGAGGAGAGGAGGGAAGGAAAGGAGAGGAGGGAATGAAAGAACAGGACAGACGCACCGCGCCTCCGCCTCGACGCGCTTGAACTCCGCGAGCCCCCAGTGCCCGTACTCCGCGCCCGCCTGCTCGTACGTCGTCACCCACCCCGCCGCGAGCATCTCCAGCTGCACCGGGCGCGCGCGCGAGAGCGGGAGGAGGCGCGGGGGCAGGACGACGTGGGCGACCTGGGGTGTGCAGATGCGAGTGGGCGTTGGGCGTGCCATCAAAGTAAGGGATGAGGGATGAGGGATAAGGACAGGAGCACAGGGCACTCACGATCCGCCCGTACTGGTCGCGCCGCACGAGCTGGCAGTACACGCGCCGCCCCTCGAGCTTCGCCTTGAGCCACGCGAGCGCCTCCGCCGCGTACGGCTGCGCGGGGCGCCCAAAGTGCGCCGCCTGCCGTCGCGGTGAGCTCAGCGTGCCAGGTCCGTCGCGGAGGGTGGAAGAGGTAGAGCGAAGCGGAAGCGCACCTCGGGCGCGTCGATCCCCGCCATGCGTATATGTATCGTCTGGTTCCGCAGATCTGCCCAAACCACGCGCTCAACCCACACACGCACGTATCCACGAAGACACACTCAGCAGCCACCTTTGCTCGCGGTCGGCACGCGCCGGAACTTCAGCGCCCACCGCCAGCCCGCGCCGGGGGTGTGGTACAGCCTGAAATTGTCCGCGTCGCCGACGCTGCCGGTCCCCGGGCCATGCGTCAGTCCTGCCTGGACGTGCACGCGGAGGGCGCACGCACCTGGTCACGACGCCCGCGATCCAGCGCCGGCGCGCGAAGACGTCGGGCGTGACCCACTCGCCCGTCGGCAGGCGGCGGAAGTAGCGCGCGTACGCGAGCGCGGCGAGCGTGCTGCTCAGCGCGCCGAGGGCGAAGGCGAGCGGGGCGGGGACGGAGGACGGGGAGGGGGAGGAGGCGGGCTCGGGGGAGGGAGAAGGTTGCGGGGTGGTCCGCTCGGGAAGGGGGGACGGGGAGGAGGAGGAGGACCAGGGGAGCCAGGAGGACATGGTGGGTGCTAAGGTTTAGCTAGGTCTGCGTGCAGGCCTAGGGCCGTTGGTAATCGTGGGAATTTCGGGACTATTATACATATAGCCGCCGGTCTGCCACTGACAAGAATGCAGGGCCCGACGGGAAGTGTTGTAGTACATCCCATTTGTTAGCAACTGCCTATGGATGTTGGTACAGTACCATGTACTGCAATGGGGAACGTCCGCCCAGGCGCCGCACGATCAGAAATTGGAATAGAGGACTGTTCGGCGTATATATGTTGTGAGGCAGTAAAGGTTCCCAATCGTGCACCAATACAGTCGACTCTGTCTTAACCCATAACGGGTCGTGGAACCCAAAAGTTATGGGTTTCTGCAGACTATGGGTTACCAGAACGTGTGACATTGTGTGACTACCTAGTAAGCGTGACAGACAGCCTATCCGGTATAGGCCGGACGTCGTTTATGACAACGTTCAGATACGGAATCTTGAGTCTGGTATGGGTTATCTTCTGGAATACCACGAGAACCAAAAAATAACGGTCCAGATGGTCCAGATTCTCGTGGGAAGGAGACCTGTACCTTCCTAATATAGGTTGTTTTATGGGTTATGACCCTCCAAAAAGCTATGGGTTATGGGATACGGCAGACTTATGGGTTTTTACTATCT